GAGGGGACACGGGGTTTGGGGACGAGGTGACTTTAGGAGGGGGGGTGACGCCGGGCCGTGTCGCCGCAGGTGCGCTGCCGCCGCAGGCCGTGGTCCAGGGGGGGACGCTGCGTTTCGGCGCCGTGGAGCCCTCCGACGAGGGGCACTACGCCTGCCGGGCACGCAACAGCGCCGGGCAGCACACGGCACGGGCCTTCCTCCACGTGCAAGGTGAGCATCGTCCCCAGCATCATCCTCATTGTCCCTCTGGTCCCCATTGTCCATCCCCATCCCCATTGTCCATCCCCATCCCCGTTGTCCCATCATCTCCATCATCCCCCATCATCTTCGGGCCTTCCTCCACGTGCAAGGTGAGCATCGTCCCTGTCATCATCCTCATTGTCCCTGTCATCCCCATTGTCCATCCCCGTCCCCGTTGTCCATCCCCATCGTCCATCCCCGTCCCCATTGTCCATCCCCGTCCCCATTGTCCATCCCCATCCCCATCATCCTCATCATCTCCATCATCCCCCATCATCTTCTGTCATCTCTGTCACCCCTGTTGCCCCATCATCCCCATCATCCTCCTCATCTCCATCATCCCCCATCATCTTCTGTCATCTCTGTCACCCCTGTTGCCCCATCATCCCCATCATCCTCATCATCTACATCATCCCCGTTGTTCCCATCATCCCTGTCACCCCTTCTGTCCCCATCATCCATGCCCATCATCCCATTTTCCCCATCATCCCCACCATCTGCATCATCCCTCACCCCCATCATCCCCATCGTCCTCATCATCCTCATCATCTACATCATCCCCGTTGTTCCCATCATCCCTGTCACCCCTTCTGTCCCCATCATCCATGCCCATCATCCCATTTTCCCCATCATCCCCACCATCTGCATCATCCCTCACCCCCATCATCCCCATCACCCTCATCATGCCCATCACCGTCATCCCTGTCATCTCCCATCATCTATCTCTCTCATCCTCATCATCGCATCATCCCCATTGTCCCCATCGTCCCCCTGTTGTCCCCATTGTCCTCGTTGTCCCTGTCACCCCCATTGACTCCATCATCCCCTTCATCCCTATTGTCCATCCCCATTATTCCATTGTCCCCATCGTCCTCGTTGTCTCCGTCATCCTCATCAACCTCCTCATCCCTACTGTTCTCATCATCCCCACCACCCCAATGGTCCCCACCACCCCCATTGTCCCTATCATCCCCTGTCATCCTGTTGTCCTCATCGTCCCTGTCGCCTCCATCATCCTCATCACCCCCACTATCCCTATTGTCCCTGTCACCCCCATTGTCTTCATCATCCCCTTCATCCCCCATCATCCCATTGTCCCCATCATCTTCATTGTCCCCATCATCCCTGTCACCTCTATCATCCCCACCGTTCCCATCATCCTCATCATCCCTGTCACCCCCGCTGTCCCCATCACCCCCATTCTCACTGTCATCCCCCATCATCCCCGTCATCCCCATTGTCCCCGTCACCCCCATTGTCTTCATCATCCCCTTTGTCCCCCATCATCCTCATTGTCCCTACCATCCTCATTGTCCCCATCATCCCTGTCACTCCCATTGTCCCCATCATTCCCACTATCCCCATCATCCCCATTGTCCCTGTCACCCCCATTGTCCCCATCACCTCGATTGTCACTATCATCCCCCATCATCCCATTGTCCCCGTTGTCCCTGTCACGCCCCTTGTCCCCATCATCCCCATTGTCCCTGTCACCCCCATTGTCTTCATCATCCCCTTTCTCCCCCATCATCCTCATTGTGTCCATGATCCCTGTCATCCCCATCATCCCTGTCACCCCCATTGTCCCCATCACCTCGATTGTCACTATCATCCCCCATCATCCCATTGTCCCCGTTGTCCCTGTCACGCCCATTGTCCCCATCATCCCCATTGTCCCTGTCACCCCCATTGTCTTCATCATCCCCTTTCTCCCCCATCATCCTCATTGTTCCCCATCATCCTCATTGTCCCCATGATCCCTGTCGTCCCCATCATCCCTGTCACCCCCATTGTCCCCATCACCTCGATTGTCACTATCATCCCCCATCATCCCATTGTCCCAGTTGTCCCTGTCACTCCCATCGTCCCCATCATCCCCACTAGCCCCATCATCCCCATTGTCCCCATCACCCCCATTGTCCCTGTCACCCCTATTGTCTTCATCATCCCCTCTGTCCCCCATCATCCTCATTGTCCCCATCCCTGTCATCCCCATCATCCCTGTCACCCCCATTATCCCCATTGTCCCCATCATCCCTGTCACCCCCATTGTCCCCATCACCTCGATTGTCACTATCATCCCCCATCATCCCATTGTCCCCGTTGTCCCTGTCACCCCCTCTGTCCCCCATCATCCTTATTGTCCCTATCCCTGTCGTCCCTGTCATCCCCGTCACCCCCATTGTCCCCATCATCCCCACTATCCCCATCACCCCCATTGTCCCTGTCACCCACATTGTCTTCATCATTCCCTTTGTCCCCCATCATCCTCACTGTCCCCACCATCCTCATTGTCCCCATGATCTCCGTTGTCCCCCTCATCCCTGTCACCCCCATCATCCCCATTGTCCCCATCATCTGTCACCCGCATTGTCCCCATCACCTCGATTGTCACTATCATCCCCATCATCCCATTGTCCCCGTTATCCCCGTCACCCCCATTGTCCCTGTCACCCCCACTGTCTTCATCATCCCCTTTGTCCCCCATCATCCTCATTGTCCCCACCATCCTCATTGTCCCCATGATCCCTGTTGTCCCCCTCATCCCTGTCACCCCCATCATCCCCATTGTCTCCATCATCTCTGTCACCCCCATTGTCCCCATCACCCCCATCGCCCCAGCCCCCCAGCATCGCCCTGACCCCCCGCTTCCCGCAGCAGCCGGCGCCCCCCGGGTGCAGGTGAGCCCGGAGCGGACAGAGGTGCAGGAGGGCTCCACGGTGCGGCTCTACTGCCGGGTCTCGGGGTCCCCCACCGCCACCATCACCTGGGAGAAGCAGGGGGGCACCCTCCCACCACAGGTGAGCCAGGGCCTGGCACCCTTGGGTGCTGTGGTGGGGAGGAGGGGGGCGTGGGTGCCCTGTGGGTGCTGCTGACACCCACCCCTTGTGCCGCAGTCCCGCGCCGAGCAGGGTGACATCGCCACCCTGGTCATCCCCGCCGTGACGGCAGCCGACGGCGGCCTCTACCTCTGCGTGGGCTCCAGCGCCGCCGGCACGGCCCGCGCCGCCATCGAGGTGGCCGTGGTGCCAGGTGAGGCGGGTGGGGGACACTGGTGGGGGTTCGGGGGACAGTTTGGGGGGCTGCGACCCACCACTGTGTCATCCCCCCGGACCTTTTCGTCCCCATAGGGACAACCCCACCCGTCCGCATCGAGTCCTCCTCCCCGTCCGTCAGCGAGGGACAGACCCTGGACCTCGACTGCCTGGTGGCCGGGCCCGGCCCTGCCACCGTGACGTGGTACAAGCGCGGTGGCTCCTTGCCCGCCGGCCACCAGGTAGGGCCACGGGTGGCACGGGCAGCACCCCAAATCCTGTCCTGTCCCCCCACACACACCGCGTGACACCCATGTGTGTCCCCAACCCCAGGTTTCGGGGTCCCGGCTCCGTGTCCCCCACGTCACGGCGGCCGATTCGGGGGAGTACGTGTGCCGGGCCAGCGTGGGGACCACCATCAGGGAGGCGTCTGTCATCGTCACCGTGGTGGCCGCGTCCGGCTCCTCCTACGGTGAGACTGGGCTCGGTGGCCCCAGGGGGGACACAGGCTGGTCCCCAACGGGTGGTCACAGCTCTGTCCTGTCCCCCTCCAGGGCCACCAGCTTCAGGTGTCCCCGTCCGGATTGAGGCGTCCTCGTCCACCGTGGCCGAGGGACAGACCCTGGACCTCAACCCCAACCCCAGGTTTCGGGGTCCCGGCTCCGTGTCCCCCACGTCACGGCGGCCGATTCGGGGGAGTACGTGTGCCGGGCCAGCGTGGGGACCACCATCAGGGAGGCGTCTGTCATCGTCACCGTGGTGGCCGCGTCCGGCTCCTCCTACGGTGAGACTGGGCTCGGTGGCCCCAGGGGGGACACAGGCTGGGCCCCCACGGGTGGTCACAGCTCTGTCCTGTCCCCCTCCAGGGCCACCAGCTTCAGGTGTCCCCGTCCGGATTGAGGCGTCCTCGTCCACCGTGGCCGAGGGACAGACCCTGGACCTCAACTGCCTGGTGGCCGGCCAGGGACAGGCCACTGTCACCTGGTACAAGCGTGAGGGGTCCCTCCCACCCAAGCACCAGGTAGGGGACATGAAGGAGGATGTCCCCAAGGGGCGGTGGTTGGGGTTGACCTATGGCCACTATGCAAGACCAGGTGTCTTCCTGCAAGCATCTGTGGCCCCATGCAAGCTCTGGTGGCCCCTTGCAAGCCCAAGTGGTCCATGAAAGCCCAGGTGACCTATGCAAACCCAACTGATGATTTTGTAAGCCCGGGTGGCCACATGCAAGCCCAGGTGACCCGTGCAAGTCCAGGTGACCCATGCAAGCTGAGGTTAGTGGCCCCATGCAAACCCAGTTGGTCCTATGCAAGCCCTGGTGGCCCATGCAAGGCCCATTGTCCCCGTTATCCCCGTCACCCCCATTGTCCCTGTCACCCCCACTGTCTTCATCATCCCCTTTGTCCCCCATCATCCTCATTGTCCCCACCATCCTCATTGTCCCCATCATCCCTGTCACTCCCATTGTCCCCATCATTCCCTGTGGGTGCTGCTGACACCCACCCCTTGTGCCGCAGTCCCGCGCCGAGCAGGGTGACATCGCCACCCTGGTCATCCCCGCCGTGACGGCAGCCGACGGCGGCCTCTACCTCTGCGTGGGCTCCAGCGCCGCCGGCACGGCCCGCGCCGCCATCGAGGTGGCCGTGGTGCCAGGTGAGGCGGGTGGGGGACACTGGTGGGGGTTCGGGGGACAGTTTGGGGGGCTGCGACCCACCACTGTGTCATCCCCCCGGACCTTTTCGTCCCCGTAGGGACAACCCCACCCGTCCGCATCGAGTCCTCCTCCCCGTCCGTCAGCGAGGGACAGACCCTGGACCTCGACTGCCTGGTGGCCGGGCCCGGCCCTGCCACCGTGACGTGGTACAAGCGCGGTGGCTCCTTGCCCGCCGGCCACCAGGTAGGGCCACGGGTGGCACGGGCAGCACCCCAAATCCTGTCCTGTCCCCCCACACACACACCGCGTGACACCCATGTGTGTCCCCAACCCCAGGTTTCGGGGTCCCGGCTCCGTGTCCCCCACGTCACGGCGGCCGATTCGGGGGAGTACGTGTGCCGGGCCAGCGTGGGGACCACCATCAGGGAGGCGTCTGTCATCGTCACCGTGGTGGCCGCGTCCGGCTCCTCCTACGGTGAGACTGGGCTCGGTGGCCCCAGGGGGGACACAGGCTGGTCCCCAACGGGTGGTCACAGCTCTGTCCTGTCCCCCTCCAGGGCCACCAGCTTCAGGTGTCCCCGTCCGGATTGAGGCGTCCTCGTCCACCGTGGCCGAGGGACAGACCCTGGACCTCAACTGCCTGGTGGCCGGCCAGGGACAGGCCACTGTCACCTGGTACAAGCGTGAGGGGTCCCTCCCACCCAAGCACCAGGTAGGGGACATGAAGGAGGATGTCCCCAAGGGGCGGTGGTTGGGGTTGACCTATGGCCACTATGCAAGACCAGGTGTCTTCCTGCAAGCATCTGTGGCCCCATGCAAGCTCTGGTGGCCCCTTGCAAGCCCAAGTGGTCCAAGAAAGCCCAGGTGACCTATGCAAACCCAACTGGTGATTTTGTAAGCCCGGGTGGCCACATGCAAGCCCAGGTGACCCGTGCAAGTCCAGGTGACCCATGCAAGCTGAGGTGGCCCCCATGCAAGCTGAGGTGGCCCCATGCAAGCCCAGGTGGCCCCCATGCAAGCCCAGGTGGCCCCATGCAAGCTCTGGTGGCCCCAAGCAAACCCAATGTCACCTGGTACAAGCGTGAGGGGTCCCTCCCACCCAAGCACCAGGTAGGGGACATGAAGGAGGATGTCCCCAAGGGGCGGTGGTTGGGGTTGACCTATGGCCACTATGCAAGACCAGGTGTCTTCCTGCAAGCATCTGTGGCCCCATGCAAGCTCTGGTGGCCCCTTGCAAGCCCAAGTGGTCCAAGAAAGCCCAGGTGACCTATGCAAACCCAACTGGTGATTTTGTAAGCCCGGGTGGCCACATGCAAGCCCAGGTGACCCGTGCAAGTCCAGGTGACCCATGCAAGCTGAGGTGGCCCCCATGCAAGCTGAGGTGGCCCCATGCAAGCCCAGGTGGCCCCCATGCAAGCCCAGGTGGCCCCATGCAAGCTCTGGTGGCCCCAAGCAAACCCAACTGGCACTTTTGGAAGCCCAGTTGGCTCTATACAAGCCCAGATGACACTTGTGCAAGCTTGAGTGGTCCTGTGCAAGACCAGGTGGCCCCCATACAGCTCCAAATGGCCCCGTGCGAGTCCCAGCAGCCCCATGGAAGTCCAAATGGCTCTGGTGACCCCCGTGTCCCCTCCCCACAGATGTCTGGCTCCCGGCTACGGCTGCTGCAGGTGACAGCGGCCGACTCGGGCGAGTACGTGTGCCGGGTGACCAGCGGGGCCACCACCAAGGAAACCTCTGTCATGGTGACAATCCAGCCCAGTGGGGCCAGCTCATACCGTGAGTGGGGACAGAGTGGGTGACAGGGTGTCCCCCCATGTGCCATGGCACTGAGCGGTGTCTCATGTGCCTCTGCCGTGGTCACCGGTGTCACCCTCCCTTCTTGGTCCCCAGCTCCGGGCAACACGAACCCCCTGCGCATCGAGTCCCCGTCCTCCACCGTGGCCGAGGGCCAGACCCTGGACCTCAACTGTGTCATCGCCAGCCCCACACAGGCCACCGTCACCTGGTACAAACGTGGGGGGTCCCTCCCACCCAAGCACCAGGTAGGGGACGTGGAGGGGGATGTCCCCAAGGGACGGTGGTTGGGGTTGACTCATGGCTCTGTGCAAGGTCAGGTGGCCCCCTGCAAGCCCAAGTAGACCACACAAGCTCAGGTGGCCTCATGCAAGCCCAGGTGCCCCATGCAAAGTCTGGTGGCCTGTGCAAGCCCTGGTAGCCCATGCAAGCTCTGGTGGCCCCATGCAAACCCAGGTGGCCTGTGCAAGCCCAGATGGCCCATGCAAGCCTGGGTGGCCCTTGCAAGCCCTGGTGGCCCCATGCAAGCTCTGGTGGCCCAATGCAAACCCAGGTGGCATGTGCAAGCCCAGATGGCCCACGCAAGCCATGGTGGCCCTTGCAAGCCCTGGTGGCCCCATGCAAGCCCACATAGCCCATGCAAAGTCTGGTGGCCTTTGCAAGCCCTGGTGGCCCATGCAAGCTCTGGTGGCCCCATGCAAACCCAGGTGGCCTGTGCAAGCCCTGGTGGCCCTTGCAAGCCCTGGTGGCCCCATGCAAGCCCACATAGCCCATGCAAAGTCTGGTGGCCTTTGCAAGCCCTGGTGGCCCATGCAAGCTCTGGTGGCCCCATGCAAACCCAGGTGGCCTGTGCAAGCCCTGGTGGCCCTTGCAAGCCCTGGTGGCCCCATGCAAGCCCACATAGCCCATGCAAAGTCTGGTGGCCTTTGCAAGCCATGGTGGCCCATTCAAGCCATGGTGGCCCATGCAAGCTCTGGTGGCCCCATGCAAACCCAGGTGGCCTGTGCAAGCCCAGATGGTCCACGCAAGCCTGAGTGGCCCTTGCAAGCCCTGGTGGCCCAGGCAAGCTTCAGTGGCCCCATGCTAGCCCACATAGCCCATGCAAACCCAGGTGGCCTCATGCAAGCCCAGGTGCCCCATGCAAAGTCTGATGGCCTTTGCAAGCCCTGGTGGCCCATGCAAGCTTTAGTGGCCCCATGCAAACCCAGTTGGTCCTATGCAAGCCCTGGTGGCCCATGCAAGCCCAGGTGCCCCATGCAAAGTCTGGTGGCCTTTGCAAGCCCTGGTGGCCCATGCAAGCTCTGGTGGCCCCATGCAAACCCAGGTGGCCTGTGCAAGCCCAGATGGCCCATGCAAGCCTGGGTGGCCCTTGCAAGGGCTTCCTGGTGGCCCCATGCAAGTCCACATAGCATGTGCAAGCCCAAGTTGCCCGATGCAAACCCAGCTCACTCCATGGAAGCCCAAATGGCTCTGGTGACCCCCGTGTCCCCTCCCCACAGATGTCTGGCTCCCGGCTACGGCTGCTGCAGGTGACAGCGGCCGACTCGGGCGAGTACGTGTGCCGGGTGACCAGTGGGGCCACCACCAAGGAAACCTCTGTCATGGTGACAATCCAGCCCAGTGGGGCTAATGCCTACCGTGAGTGGGGACCAGAGGGGACATTACCTGTGGGTGGGTGGCACTGCCCTGTGGTGTCCACAGGTCTGGGGTGGATCGCTCCCTGGGGAAGCCACCCATGTGGGGCTTCCCGGGCTCCTGGTGTCCCTTGGAGGGTCACACTTGGTGGTGGCCACAGCCTCTAACCTGTCTTGGTCCCCAGCTCCTGGCAGCACCACCCCCCTGCGCATCGAGTCCTCGTCCTTGTCATCCCCTGTGGCCGAGGGCCAGACCCTGGACCTCAACTGTGTCATCGCCAGCCCCGCACAGGCCACCGTCACCTGGTACAAGCGCGGGGGGTCCCTCCCACCCAACCACCAGGTAGGGGACGTGGAGGGGAAGTCCCCAAGGAGGGTGGTTGCAGTTGACCCAAGGCTCTGTGCAAGCCCAAGTAGCCTGGGTGGTCCCAGGCAAGTCCAGGTGGCCCATGTAAACCCAAATGGCACCATGCAAGCCTTGGTGGGCCCCATGCAAGCCATGGTGGGCCCCATGCAAGCCCAGGTGGTCCCCATGCAAGCCATGGTGGTCCCAATGTGCAAGCCCAGATGGCCCACGCAAGCCATGGTGGCCCTTGCAAGCCCTGGTGGCCCCATGCAAGCCCACATAGCCCATGCAAAGTCTGGTGGCCTTTGCAAGCCCTGGTGGCCCATGCAAGCTCTGGTGGCCCCATGCAAACCCAGGTGGCCTGTGCAAGCCCTGGTGGCCCTTGCAAGCCCTGGTGGCCCCATGCAAGCCCACATAGCCCATGCAAAGTCTGGTGGCCTTTGCAAGCCATGGTGGCCCATTCAAGCCATGGTGGCCCATGCAAGCTCGGGTGGCCCAATGCAAACCCAGGTGGCCTGTGCAAGCCCAGATGGCCCATGCAAGCGTGGGTGGCCCTTGCAAGGGCTTCCTGGTGGCCCCATGCAAGCCCACATAGTACATGCAAAGTCTGGTGGCCTTTGCAAGCCCTGGTGGCCCCATGCAAGCCCACATAGTACATGCAAAGTCTGGTGGCCTTTGCAAGCCCTGGTGGCCCCATGCAAGCCCACATAGTACATGCAAAGTCTGGTGGCCTTTGCAAGCCCTGGTGGCCCCATGCAAGCCCACATAGTACATGCAAAGTCTGGTGGCCTTTGCAAGCCCTGGTGGCCCCATGCAAACCCAGGTGGCCTGTGCAAGCCCAGATGGCCCATGCAAGCCTGGGTGGCCCTTGCAAGGGCTTCCTGGTGGCCCCATGCAAGTCCACATAGCATGTGCAAGCCCAAGTTGCCCGATGCAAACCCAGCTCACTCCATGGAAGTCCAAATGGCTCTGGTGACCCCCGTGTCCCCTCCCCACAGATGTCTGGCTCCCGGCTACGGCTGCTGCAGGTGACAGCGGCCGACTCGGGCGAGTACGTGTGCCGGGTGACCAGTGGGGCCACCACCAAGGAAACCTCTGTCATGGTGACAATCCAGCCCAGTGGGGCTAATGCCTACCGTGAGTGGGGACCAGAGGGGACATTACCTGTGGGTGGGTGGCACTGCCCTGTGGTGTCCACAGGTCTGGGGTGGATCGCTCCCTGGGGAAGCCACCCATGTGGGGCTTCCCGGGCTCCTGGTGTCCCTTGGAGGGTCACACTTGGTGGTGGCCACAGCCTCTAACCTGTCTTGGTCCCCAGCTCCTGGCAGCACCACCCCCCTGCGCATCGAGTCCTCGTCCTTGTCATCCCCTGTGGCCGAGGGCCAGACCCTGGACCTCAACTGTGTCATCGCCAGCCCCGCACAGGCCACCGTCACCTGGTACAAGCGCGGGGGGTCCCTCCCACCCAACCACCAGGTAGGGGACGTGGAGGGGAAGTCCCCAAGGAGGGTGGTTGCAGTTGACCCAAGGCTCTGTGCAAGCCCAAGTAGCCTGGGTGGTCCCAGGCAAGTCCAGGTGGCCCATGTAAACCCAAATGGCACCATGCAAGCCTTGGTGGGCCCCATGCAAGCCGTGGTGGGCCCCATGCAAGCCCAGGTGGTCCCCATGCAAGCCATGGTGGTCCCATACAAGCCATGGTGGCCTCCATGCAAGCCCAGGTGGTCACCATGCAAGCCCTGGTGGTCCCATACAAGCCGTGGTGGCCTCCATGCAAGCCCAGGTGGTCCCCATGCAAGCCCAGGCGGTCCCATACAAGCCGTGGTGTCCTCCATGCAAGCCCAGGTGGTCTCCATGCAAGCCCAGGCGGGCCCATACAAGCCGTGGCCCCATGCAAGCCCAGTGCAAGTCGAGGTGGCCCATTCAAACCAATAGCACCAGGAAAGCCTCCATGGCCCATGCAAGTCCAGATGACCCCATGGAAGCCCAGGTCACTCCATGGAAGCCCAAGCGGGTCTGTGGAAGCCCTAGTGGCCCCATGCAAGCTGGAGTGGCCTCGTTCAATCACAGATGGCCCCATGCAAGCACTGGTGGCCCCATGCAAGCTTGTGACCCCCGTGTCCCCTCCCCACAGATATCTGGCTCCCGGTTACGGCTGCTGCAGGTGACAGCGGCCGACTCGGGCGAGTACGTGTGCCGGGTGACCAGCGGGGCCACCACCAAGGAGATCTCCATCGTGGTGACAATCCAGCCCAGTGGGGCCACCACCTACCGTGAGTGGGGGAGCAGGAGGTGACAGGGGACCAGGGGAACATGCCCTGGTTCTTGGGGTGACTCTGACATCTTTGTCCCCAGCCATTGGTGTCACCCCCCCACTGCGCATCGAGTCCTCGTCCTCCTCCGTGGCCGAGGGACAGACCCTGGACCTCAACTGCCTGGTGGCCGGCCAGGGACAGGCCACCATCACCTGGTACAAGCGTGAGGGACCACTCCCGGCCATCTACCAGGTAGGTGTGGGACACCAGAGGGGGGGATTTGGGATGGAAAAGGGTTTTTTTGGTGGGAGGTGGGGTTGAGAGGTTGGTGTCCCCCTTCTCACATGTGTCACCCCCTCCCCAGGTGTCGGGCACCCGCCTGCGCATCCCCCAGGTGACGGCGGCCGATTCGGGCGAGTACGTGTGCCGGGTGACGTCGGGGGGGGTCATGCACGAGACGTCCCTCATCGTCACCATCCAGACCGGCGCCGGCTCCTCTTACGGTACCGGGGACGGGGGGGGAGGTGACACGGGGACAGGAGGGGGGACACGGAGGCTGACCCCATTACCACCCCCAGCCGTCGGTGTCACGCCGCCGGTGAGGATCGAGACCTCGTCCGCCGCCGTCACCGAGGGACAGACCCTGGACCTCAACTGCATGGTGGCAGGACAGGGCCACCCCCACGTCACCTGGTACCGGCGCGGGGGGGCTCTGCCCCCCAACAGCCAGGTGGGACACGGAGGAGGTGGTGTCACCCCGCGGGGCACAGCCCCACGACGGACACTGACGTGTTCCCCGACGTGTCACCTCCCCAGGTGTCGGGGACCCGCCTGCGGCTCGCCCAGGTGGCGGTGGCCGATTCGGGGGAGTACGTGTGCCGGGTGACCCTGGGGACCGTCACCCAGGAGGCGTCTGTCATCGTCACCGTGCCCAGCAGCCCTGCCACCGCCGGCACCTACTACCGTGAGTGTGAGCGAGAGGGCAGCGCTTGGAGACAGACGGGTGCCACCTCGGTGACAAACGTCCCCTTTGTCCCCTCCCCAGCCTCCGGCGTGTCCCAGCCCCTCCGCATCGAGTCCTCCTCCTCGGCCATCGCCGAGGGACAGGTCCTGGACCTCAACTGCCTGGTGGCAGGGTCTGGCCCCACCACCGTGACGTGGTACAAGCGCGGTGGCTCCCTGCCCGCCAGCCACCAGGTAGGACACGGAGGGACGTCACCCTGAACTTGTCCCATCCCTTGTTCTCCGGGGCTGACTTGTCCCCACATTGTCCCCACCAGGTGTCGGGCACCCGCCTGCGCATCCCCCAGGTGACAGCGGCCGATTCAGGGGAGTACGTGTGCCGGGTGACGTCGGGGGGTGTCACGCAGGAGACATCCCTTGTTGTCACCATCGATGATGGAGACAACCCATCCCACCGTGAGTGCCACCCTTCGGGGAATGGGTCCCCCACCGGTGTCGGGGACCAGTGGGGACATCTACTCTTAATTGTGCCCCTGCAGCCACCGGTGTCACACCGCCCATCCGCATCGAGTCCTCAGCGTCCTCTGTCACCGAGGGACAGACCCTGGACCTCGACTGCCTGGTGGCCGGCCAGGGACAGGCCACCATCACCTGGTACAAGCGCGGTGGGTCCCTCCCGCCCAAGCACCAGGTAGGTGGGGACACCAGCAGGGTGAGGGACGGTGGCCGTGGGTGGCTGGTGGATGCCACCACCTCCTGCCATCGTGTCCCCAGATTTCGGGGTCCCGCCTGCGGCTGTCACAGCTCTCGGTGGCCGATTCGGGGGAGTACGTGTGCCGGGCGGACATGGGCAGCGTCTCCCGTGAGGCCACCATCATTGTCACCGTCACCTCCCGTGACAGTTCCAGCTACCGTGAGTCCAGCTACTGGGCAGCAGAGGATGCTGAGGGAAGATGGGGTCCATGGGTGATGTTGGTGGCTTCCCTGTCCCTTTGTCCCCACAGGTCTGCAGAGCCCCATCATCTCCATCGACCCGCACAGCATGGCGGTGGCACCGGGAGAGGATGCCACCTTCGCCCTTTGTGTCCCCCATGGGTGTTGGGGACCAGTGGGGACATCTACTCTTAATTGTGCCCCTGCAGCCACCGGTGTCACACCGCCCATCCGCATCGAGTCCTCAGCGTCCTCTGTCACCGAGGGACAGACCCTGGACCTCGACTGCCTGGTGGCCGGCCAGGGACAGGCCACCATCACCTGGATGGACACTGACGTGTTCCCCGACGTGTCACCTCCCCAGGTGTCGGGGACCCGCCTGCGGCTCGCCCCGGGGGCGGGGGCCGCTTCGGGGGCGTACGGGGCTGCCACCGCCGGCACCTACTACCGTGAGTGTGAGCGAGAGGGCAGCGCTTGGAGACAGACGGGTGCCACCTCGGTGACAAACGTCCCCTTTGCCCTGTCCCCTCCCCAGCCTCCGGCGTGTCCCAGCCCCTCCGCATCGAGTCCTCCTCCTCGGCCATCGCCGAGGGACAGGTCCTGGACCTCAACTGCCTGGTGGCAGGGTCTGGCCCCACCACCGTGACGTGGTACAAGCGCGGTGGCTCCCTGCCCGCCAGCCACCAGGTAGGACACGGAGGGACGTCACCCTGAACTTGTCCCATCCCTTGTTCTCCGGGGCTGACTTGTCCCCACATTGTCCCCACCAGGTGTCGGGCACCCGCCTGCGCATCCCCCAGGTGACAGCGGCCGATTCCGGGGAGTACGTGTGCCGGGTGACGTCGGGGGGTGTCACGCAGGAGACATCCCTCGTTGTCACCATCGATGATGGAGACAACCCATCCCACCGTGAGTGCCACCCTTCGGGGAATGGGTCCCCCACCGGTGTCGGGGACCAGTGGGGACATCTACTCTTAATTGTGCCCCTGCAGCCACCGGTGTCACACCGCCCATCCGCATCGAGTCCTCAGCGTCCTCTGTCACCGAGGGACAGACCCTGGACCTCGACTGCCTGGTGGCCGGGCCCGGCCCTGCCACCGTGACGTGGTACAAGCGCGGTGGCTCCCTGCCCGCCAGCCACCAGGTAGGACACGGAGGGACGTCACCCTGAACTTGTCCCATCCCTTGTTCTCCGGGGCTGACTTGTCCCCACATTGTCCCCACCAGGTGTCGGGCACCCGCCTGCGCATCCCCCAGGTGACAGCGGCCGATTCCGGGGAGTACGTGTGCCGGGTGACGTCGGGGGGTGTCACGCAGGAGACATCCCTCGTTGTCACCATCGATGATGGAGACAACCCATCCCACCGTGAGTGCCACCCTTCGGGGAATGGGTCCCCCACCGGTGTCGGGGACCAGTGGGGACATCTACTCTTAATTGTGCCCCTGCAGCCACCGGTGTCACACCGCCCATCCGCATCGAGTCCTCAGCGTCCTCTGTCACCGAGGGACAGACCCTGGACCTCGACTGCCTGGTGGCCGGCCAGGGACAGGCCACCATCACCTGGTACAAGCGCGGTGGGTCCCTCCCGCCCAAGCACCAGGTAGGTGGGGACACCAGCAGGGTGAGGGACGGTGGCCGTGGGTGGCTGGTGGATGCCACCACCTCCTGCCATCGTGTCCCCAGATTTCGGGGTCCCGCCTGCGGCTGTCACAGCTCTCGGTGGCCGATTCGGGGGAGTACGTGTGCCGGGCGGACATGGGCAGCGTCTCCCGTGAGGCCACCATCATTGTCACCGTCACCTCCCGTGACAGTTCCAGCTACCGTGAGTCCAGCTACTGGGCAGCAGAGGATGCTGAGGGAAGATGGGGTCCATGGGTGATGTTGGTGGCTTCCCTGTCCCTTTGTCCCCACAGGTCTGCAGAGCCCCATCATCTCCATCGACCCGCACAGCATGGCGGTGGCACCGGGAGAGGATGCCACCTTCAAGTGCCGTGTCCACGATGGTGCCCGGCCCATCAACATCACCTGGCGGATGGGACCTGGCCAACATCTCCAAGGTATGGTGGTCCCCAGCGTGGCCCTGGCGCGGTCCCCAGGGTGGCCCTGGTGTTGACGGCTCCTCCTTGCCCAGACAACGTGAAGATCAGCACCAATGGCTCAGTCATCTCCATCACCGGTGCCCACGTGGGCAACCAGGGCGCCTACCACTGTGTGGCCTCCAACCGCTTCGGCGTCGCCAGCAGCGTTGTCAACCTCCTGGTGCAAGGTGCGAGGTGGCCAGAGAGGCCCTGTCCCTGTCCACATGTGCTCCAGGTGCCCCTGGGGTGGTGGTGTCCCCATCCCCATTTGCTCCATGTGCCCCTCTTTTGGTGCTGCCCCTCCCCATCACCATCCCTGTCTTGACATCCCCCACATGCTCTGGGTCCTCCCAGTGTAGTGGTGTCCCCATCCCCGCCTCCTCTCCATGCTTCAGGTGCTCCTGGAGTGGTGGTGTCCCCATCCCCATACCGATGTCTTCCCTATGCACCAAATGCCCCCAGGGTGATGGTGTCCCCATGGCCATGCCAACATCCTTAGTGGTGGTGTCCCCATCCCCATGTCCTCTATGCTTCAGGTGCCCCTGGAGTGGTGGTGTCCCCATCCCCATGTCCTCTCTATGCTCCCGGGGTGATGGTGTCCTCATCCCCATGCTGATGTCCTCTCCATGCACCAGACACCTCCAGGATAATGGTGTCCCCATGGCCATGCCAACATCCTTAGTGGTGGTGTCCCCATCCCCATGTCCTCTATGCTTCAGGCGCCCCTGGAGTGGTGATGTCCCCATCCCCATACCGATGTCCTCCCCATGCACCAAATACCATCAGGGTGATGGTGTCCCCATTGCCATGCCAACATCCTTAGTGATGATGTCCCCATCCCCATGTCTTGATATGTTCCTGGGTTGATGGTGTCCCATCCCCATACCAATGTCCTCCCCGTGTACCAGATGCCCCCAGGGTGATGGTGTCCCCATGGCCATGCCAACATCCTTAGTAGTGGTGTCCCCATCCCCATGTCCTCTCTATGCTCCCAGGGTGGTGGTGTCCTTGTCCCCATGCTGATGTCCTCCCCATGCACCAAATGCCCTCAAGGTGATGGTGTCCCCATTGCCATGCCAACATCCTTAGTGGTGGTGTCCCCATCCCCATGTCCTCTCTATGCTTCATGTGCCCCTGGAGTGGTGGTGTCCCCATCCCCATGTCTTCTCTATGCTCCCAGGGTGGTGGCATCTTCATCCCCATGCTGATGTCCTCCCCATGCACCAGACACCCTCAGGGTGATGGTGTCTCCATTGCCATGCCAACATCCTTAGTGGTGGTGTACCCATCCCCATGTCCTCTCTATGCTTCAGGCACCCCTAGAGTGGTGATGTCCCCATCCCCATGTCCTCCATATGCCCCTGGGTTGATGGTGTCCCCATCCCCATACCGATGTCCTCCCCGTGCACCAGATGCCCCCAGGGTGAGATGGTGTCCCCATGGCCATGCCAACATCCTTAGTGGTGGTGTCCCCATCCCCATGCTGATGTCCTCCCCCTTCTCCAGGTGCCCCCACGGTGTCGGTGATGCCTCCAGGCCCCGTGACGGTGAAGGAGGGCAAATCCCTCAGCGTGGAGTGCCTTGGCCGGGGCGAACCACGGCCACTGGTGCGGTGGAGCCGTCCGGGCTCCCGGCAGAAGGTGGAGCACCAAACGCTGCTGCACATGGACAGCCAGGCCATCCTGCAGGTGAGCAGGGCACCCCAGGGTGCCGCGGGGCACCGGTGGGCGCCCAGTGCTCACCACCCACCCTGACCCCACCACCACCACCACCACCAGCTCTCGCCGGCCAAGCCGGAGCACGCCGGGACCTACGTCTGCACCGCACACAGCGCCTTGGGTTCAGCACAGGCCCGGGTGGACATCAGCGTGGAGACGGCACAGCGGCACCCTGGTGCCCCCGAGGTCACCGCGCCGCCCTCCGTCACCGTGGTGGCCGGGGACACTGCCACCCTGCACTGCACAGCCAGAGGTACGGGGGGGGATGGAGGATGGTGATGGAGAAAGGGGGTGGCCCGACGCCGCGGTGACGGTCACCGTTGTTGCCCGTAGGTGAGCCCTCACCCCACATCGAGTGGTCGAAGCTGCGGGCACCCCTGCCCTGGCAGCACCGGGTGGTCAACGGCAGCTTGGTCATCCCCCGCGCCGCGCAGCAGGACTCGGGACAGTACATCTGCAACGCCAGTAGCCCCGCCGGCTCTGCCGAGGTCTTCGTCACCCTCGACGTGGAGAGTAAGAGGGTCGTGGTGGGGTTGGGGTGCTCCTGGGTCCCTCCTGCCATCTCCACTGTCTCCTCCTCCCCCACTGTTGCCATCACCCATCCTTGGCTCCTCTCCATCCTTCCTCTGCACGTGGCCATCTCCATCGCCGCTCCCACCCTCGCTCCTGGATCCATCTTTGCTTCATCCCGGCACTCATCCTCCTCTCCAACTCCTCTCAGGCTCCATCATCCAGCCCTTCCTGTGGATGTGTCCATCTGCTGTCCCATCCCATCTACTTCTGCTCTCTCTTCCATCCATCCCCCTATTAATGGATCTATCCATCGCTCATCCATCCCAGCTCACACCCATCTCCTCCCACACCCCTCCATCCATCTTTTCCTGGTGGATTCATCCATCTCATCCATCTCAGCTCATACCCGCCTCTTAACACCTCTCCATCTTCCCCTTCCTGGTGGATTCATCCACCCCAGCATGTGCCCAACTATTCTTCTCCCATCTCCTCCATCCATCCCTTCCTTGTGGATTCATCCATCCCAGCACACACCCATCTCTCCATCTCCTCTCAAACTCCTCCCTCCACTCCTTCCTGGTGGATTCACCCATCACTCAACCATCCCAGCTCATATCCACCTCGCCATCTCTTCTCACACCCCTCCATCCTCCCCTTCCTGGTGGATTCATCCATCCCAGCTCACATCCACCTCACCATTGCCTCTCATGCACCTCCATCCACATCTTCCTGGTGAATTCACCCATCCCGGCTCACATTCACCTTGATATCTTCTCTCACACCCCTTCATCCTCCCCTTCCTGGTGGATTCATCTACCACTCATCCAGCCCAGGATATGCCCATCTTTTTATCTCCTAACTTCTCCATCCCTCTCTTCCTTGTGGATTCTTCTGTCTCATCCATCTCAGCTCACATCCACCTCTCACACCCCTCCATCTTCCCCTTCCTGGTGGATTCATCTACCACGCATCCACCCCAGCACGTGCCCATCTATTCTTCTCCCATCTCCTCCCTCCACTCCTTCCTAGTCGATTCACCCATCACTCAACCATCCCAGCTCACATCCACCTCGCCATCTCTTCTCACACCCCTCCATCCTCTCCTTCCTGGTGGATTCATCCATCCCAGCTCACATTCACCTTGACATCTCCTCTCACACCCCTTCATCCTCCCCTTCCTGGTGGATTCATCTACCACTCATCCAGCCCAGGATATGCTCATCTTTTTATCTCCTAACTTCTCCATCCCTCCCTTCCTTGTGGATTCATCCATCTTATCCATCCCAGCACACACCCATGTCTCCATCTCCCCTCACACCCCTCCATCCATCCCTTCCTCGTGAATTCCATCCATCTCATTCATCCCAGCACGTGCCTATCTCTTCATCTCCTTTCAAACTCATCCATCTGTCCATCCATCCATCCATCTCTTCCTTGTGGATTAATCCATCACTCAACCATCCCAGCTCACATCCACCTCTCCATCTCCATTCACACCCCTCCATCCATCCCTTCCCCCATGGATCTGTCCATCTCTGGGCCATCCCAGTACACACCCATGTCTCCATCTCCTCTCACACCCCTCCATCCATCCCTTCCTTGTGAATTCTGTCCATCTCATTAATCCCTACAAGTATCTCAAGGGAGGGTTGAAGGAGGAGGGAGCCAGACTCTTTTCAGTGGTTTCCAGTGACAGGACAAGGGGCAACGGGCACAAGTTGGAACATAAGAGGTTCCACTCAAATCTGAGGAAAAACTTCTTCATGGTGAGGGTGACGGAGCCCTGGAACAGGCTGCCCAGGGAGGTTGTGGAGTCCCCTTCTTTGGAGATTTTCAAAACCCGCCTGGATGCTCCTGAGTAACATGCTCTAGCTCTGGGCAATCCTGCTTCAGCAGGGGGGTTGGACTAGATGATCTCTATGGTCCCTTCCAACTCTAGAAATTCAGTGAAATTCAGTGAAATCCCATCATGTGCCTATCTCTTCAGCTCCTTTCAAACTCATCCATCCATCCATCCATCCATCTATCCATCCATCTCTTCCTTGTGGATTAATCCATCACTCAACCATCCCAGCTTGCCTCCACCTCTCCATCTCCATTCACACCCCTCCATCCATCCCTTCCCCCATGGATCTGTCCACCTCTGGTCCATCCCAGCACAGGCCCATCTCTCCATCTTCTCTCAAACTTCTCCATCCATCTCTTCCTCATGGATACATCCATCTCTGGTCCACTCCAACACACACCCACCTCCATCTCCACCCACACCTTCCCACCGTTGACCCATCCATTGACCCATTGACCGTCCATTGCTGCATCCGGGCGTTGAGGGTACCAAATGTCCCCGCAGCACCACCCTACGCCACCAGCCTACCGGAGGACACCGCAGTGCGCGCCGGTGACGCGCTGCAGGTGCAGTGCCTGGCCCACGGCACCCCCCCACTGCACTACGCGTGGGACAAGGTCAACGGCAGCCTCTCGGCGCGCGTCCTCCACCGCGCCGGCCTCCTCCGCATCAGCCCGGTGTTGCCCGCCGACGCCGGCACCTACCGCTGCCTCGTCACCAACCGCGTCGGCACCGCCGAGACCTTCGCCCGCGTGGCCGTCCATGGTGAGACAACCCCCTACCACCACCCCCAGCCCCAGTAACGGGGGGTGCCGTGGATGCCCCCCACCTCCAGGTGCCATCAGGTGCTTTGCATCCCACCCAGGTGACGCCGGGGACAGCGGGGACGGCGGCAGCGGTCCCTTGGCCGTCCGGGTGACACCGGGGAGTCTGGTGATGGGGGTGGGGGGCACCGCCGAATTCGCCTGCGCCGTCTCTGGGGACCCCCGGGC